CCAGGAAAAAATCCGACTCGGGAGGATCTCGGTCGAAAGTGTTTCAATATTTTGAGTCGACTCAAGTAAATTGTTTGGATGATGAGATCTACTTCATAGCGCATCTTAGCTCTTAGTTTCTCCCAAGGCATATGCCCCAGATTCTTCCTGTGGATTCGTCTCTGTCGCTCAAGTTTTTGGATGAGCTGTGTACACAACCTTATGACTATTGACATGGCTTGAAAAAACCTGTGCATCTTTGAGTCCGAGGGACGTGTTACAAACGTTGTTTGGCTGAAGGGTCAATCCGTCTTATTCATTTTCTCCAGGTGAGCTACCTATCAACTTAAGGGGAGTCCGTGATACAGCGGCACTTAGGATTCATCCGCAAGACTTGTTTGAGAGAGTGAAACGACATTCTGATCAAGTCTCTTAGGTTTTTCCATCAAAGGAGACGAGAAGATGGCCATAATGACATTGGTTAGGTTTGAGAAATCAAGTGCACATGTGGCGAGCTAAAGCAAAAACATGCATTGCTTTATCCTGGCTCGATGAACAGAAAATATAACTAACCTGACCAAAACAGTCCTGTCACGGTGTGCTTTGGCACATGCAATCCCGGTCTCCAATCTTGGTGAAGAAAGGGAGAAGGAGCAGGGATTGGGACAGATCAGGTTGTAAGCTATGTACAGTCTCCTCCCAGATGTTTATAGCCATCTGTTTTGAGCTCCACACCAGGAACCCAAAAACTTCAATTCACAAGAGTTTGTGGAATGGTGGAAAATGGGTCTCAAAGAATGAATATGAAAAAATAATATTGAAAAACAAGTTCATAAAATTTGTGAAAAACAAAAATGGACAGCTCTAATATTTATTGCAGGAAAATATGAAATCTCAGAAGTCATAGTATGAGATCTGGAATGAATAATAAGAAGTGAAAATTTGGAAAAAAATGACTACTTGGTGGCTTAAAAAGCGTGCCTAGGGGTTCATTCATCAAGAAATGTGGCAATCTGGTACCCCAATCTACTAATTTTGACTGAAGGGTGTCCACCCACCATTCTCAAACTTTTTTTGGATCAATATTTTCATTTATAATCATTCTTTCCATGTTCCAAACTTGCCCTCTGTGTGCTCACTTTTCACTCAAACAAAAAATTAAAGTTTTCAAAAAAACTTGATTTTCTTTTATCTTTTTCACAAATTTTAAAATCTTGTTTTTTATTGTTATTTTTTCATATTAATTCTTTGAAACCCATTTTCCACCATTCCAAAAACTCTTGTGACTTGAATTTTTTGGGTTCCCACTGTGGAGCTCAAAGCAGATGGCTATAAACATCTGGGAGGAGACTGTACAATGATTATCTATGTTGGGTTTGAGACTATCAATAACTATTTAATGCTGTGTAAGTACACAGTTTATGATCAGATACATGAGATAATCTTGAATCTTCTGATGCCTTCCATTGCTACTCTAACACAAATCCCTGACTATGGCAAGAGTCTTTAGTCTGATCATTTCAAAAATTGAAACTCAATTCCAGATCTAACTTATTACAAGTCCCTTGCCTGTTTCTGCACGTCTGCACGCAAAGCGCAGCCTCCCACGGGGAGTGACTTGTGTAAAAATTCAAAATATTGGCTGGGAAAGGGAATGAAAATGGCTGGAATTAAATTTGTTAAGGCCCTGGCTCCTTAGCCTAATACTCTACAGGCCTGGCTCAGAGCCAGATTATACTCTTGGGATCCAACTTTCATTAGGGGGGCTCACAATAGCCTTTCACCAGAAAGTTTTTATTGTCCCACCAGAAAGGTTGCGCATGCTGTGCATAATAAACTTTTAATCAATTTTTAACTCACCAGAATTTTCACACCAGAAATGTTGTCAACTGACCTGTCTTGGGAATGCACTTGACTGCTTGGCGGCTCCAGATAACCTCAGTGCACTGATGCCAAAATCCTCCAAGATCTCCTGATGATACTAATCTTCCTTCTCCAGAAAGAAACCAATGACCTCATTGACTCCACCGTGAATATTCCCACCGTTCCCTCACTTGGCCGTGTTGTAGCACCTAGAAATCCAGGCCAAGCTTTGGTGATAGACTTTCTGTTCAAGAACAAATCAATCATGACGGATCTCTTGCACCTGGTACTGACTAATCAATACTTGAATACCAATTGCCATCACTGTTGTATGTACATAGGATGACTGGTGTTCTTCACTCGGAATCCAATTGGTTCTCTTTATCATCCATATGAGATCGGATTGACCCAAACCATCTCCCACTTCAATGTTTGTTGGCCCAAGGCCAAGAAGACAATATTACATTTATATCAATGTCTTGGTCAAGTTGTGCTCATTTGGGTACATATTATTTAGGAGTTTCTTGATTGAGAATACATAAGCCTTCCAGATGAAATCATGAGCTTCACTTACATTTTTGTAACAGATTTTTTCAATTCTTCTGAATGAAGTATGAAATTTTTAAAAGGGAAAGTGTACCAAAGTGGTTGGACTTGATAAATGGCTGTCAAATGACAGTTGAGGATATAATTATTGTGGGCAAGTAAATTCTTATGATGGCTTATAAATTTAACCAATGGCCAGAAAGATTTGCTGCGTGTTGGCCAATGTTTGTGCCAGTTTTTTAGGTTAATTTTTAGGCCAAAAAAGTGACCAGCAAGAATTTTTCTTAGGGGGGGGGGGGCATAAGCCAAAAAATCTATTGTGAACCCCCCTGTTTGGTGGTGGTCTCATTCCCTCATTTACTCTGATTCTCCTTCCATGATTTTTTGAAAGTAACAGAAAATTACTGCTATTCAAAACATAAATGAATGATCCACCAAGATTGGCAAGAAAATCCACCAAATATTTTCTAATCTGCCACCTGGCAGATCCAACAAGCAAGATTTCAAACTCAAGTTGCCCTTTCAGCATACTTGCAGCGGTGGGCAGATACGTTACAGTACATTACAGCAGGGGATTTGGAGAACATAACTTTTGTTTAGTTATCCAAATCTGTGGTTTTTGTAAAGTAACTAAATTTGGCTGTAAAGGAATGTAATGTAACCAATTTTATTTTTTCCATATATCTGTTGGGGGTAATGTAACTTACTTGGGGGGAGGGTGTTATGAGGGGTTGAAGGGCCAAATCATATTGCATATAGCTTAAAATTCAAAGAGCGCCTCACATGCACATTGAATTTATGGAGGTTGTGGGTTCAATTCTCACACCAGACATCTTTTGACCTGGCTTACTGGTGAAATGATAATCACTGGTTGGTTTATGATCATATTGGGCAAATTATCTTGCACTTAATGAACAAAACCATCAAGAATCAGTGCATCCCCAGCAAATTTACCCTCAAGTTACCCAAATACTGGAAATTCTGTAAGGTAACCCTGTTTTGTTCAGAATTTCTGGGAACGTAACTAGAAAAAAAGGGGCCTTTTGCTCCAGTAGACATCTACACCACAGCCCTTACTTCCGGGCCGTAAAATCATGATGATCAGGTCTACGCAGCCAGTTTTACAGTCCAAAATACACCACAACTTGGCAGAGTGGTTGGTAAAAATTGATCACAGGCAACACTGCAACAAATACAATACACAGTTTGTATCATGAGGAATTGTACCAACATATATGGCAAAGAGACAGATTAAATGAATAAGACTCTCAATAGAACCACATTGGTCATGAAAAATATACATCAAGACCATGATACATTAAAAAATACATGCTAATACATTGAAAATACCGTATTTGTTGCAGTGTTGTCACAGGTGGAGAGATGAATGGTGTTTGAGGGTTGAGTTTCACACATTATTGTTGTGCAACAATGTTGTTTGTAGGCCGTATGTGAGTCTCAAGGAGTCCCTACATGTGAGGACTTGAGAGGAGAATTAACAGACTGTATTAAACTTAAGCAACCACAGTGGGTTGTGTTGAGTCCATAAATTCCACCTCCAGACCCAATTCATGGCCTGTGGTGGAGTTGCTCTTTGATAATGGATCAATTTCAGACTAATTAGCAAATCTTGGGAAACTCTCTCTGGGGAATTTCTGAGCTAAGTAATTCCATCATATCATTTATGTTCAGTCCTCTCCAAGAATCTGACCAAAGTTGCTTGTTGAAATAACCAAAAAAACTGTCTATTCTGTTTTTCTCCAAATTGAGTATCCTTTTTTTTTTAAAAAAAAAAATGTGTATTTAGGCTTGAAAATCCTTCCTGGCCCAGCCAGATTTTTGACTTATTTCAGAAGTCTCTCCTACAGCAAGTATCCCATGGGGACACCCCCAGAGAGGCTTTGTTATGCTAGATTTCAGATGCAAGTTTTGAATCCAGCCTTTTGGATGAAAAAGATAAGCTTCCTAATTTTGAAGAAACAGAGGCAGCAGGTTTTTCTAGTCTAGCTTACAGCCCAGCATTACTTGAGAAAGTGGAGGACTTCCCGTTGGATCTGGGACCCTCGCAGATGTTGATTTAGACCCAAAAAGTCTAGAATTTTGCTGGGAAATCAAGCTTTCGAGGCCTCTAAATCGCTTCTGGGAGACCCGCAGATTTGACGGGAAGTCGTCAAGTGAAGGCAATCTTGAATTTACGACAATGGCTGGTTCTTGTAATACCCCAGACAAGCAAGTCTCTCCCTGACAGCAAGGTGCTTGCACCCTGGAGCTCCTTTGTTGAGCTTTTTGTAGCCATACCAACCGACGTTGTGTTGCCACAAATTGACTTCCGCTGCCGCGGTGACTGCGCTTTGTCTGCCGCATGCTTGAAAAAATCCGTGATCCGTTCGCAGGGTTCTGCATGCAGGCGACATTTCCTTTTTTTGAATGGCACCCAGATCTTTATGGCACTGACACATGGGATGATGGGAGCTGCGATGTATGTACTGGTTCGGATACGGTCGGATCATGTACAATGATACGATCCTGTACGGTCCGTCCCTGCCCGCATCGGAAACATGCATCCAAAGAAAAGTGGTTTTGTCGTAGAAATATGTACATGGGGCAGATGATGGCTGTACGTCTCGATGTTTTGAGGGATAAATTCAAATCCAAAACGTACAAATAGTTGCAGGGCAGGGGCAGTTAAGGGACTACTTGAAACCTTAACAAAGGTGTGGAAGACGACGATTAGCCTTGGAGCGGGTCGCTTGGGGAGGATTATCCAGCGGGTAGACTAGTTGAGGAAGAAAACTCTCCCAAGAACCACTCCGGACAGGATTCTCGTCTTAACCAAGCAGTCCACACAGTCTACACGCGAACGCACACGAGATGCCTATCGAAGTCACTTTCGACGAACCTTCCTCCAGTTCTTCGTCTTCGTCTGCTTCATCAGCTTCAAGAACTTCAGACGAACACGAAGACCCATGTAAGAGCACAATCTTCTCTAGCCTCACAAAAGAAAAGAAAAGAATAACTCCTAACCTTACTTCTTTCCATAACTACACATTGATTGGATATAGATCACATGGACCCTACAATGACTAAAGGAAGAGGGGGATCCGAGGAAGAAGATATAGAAGAAGCCATCAGTCAATTGAACCTGACACCCCAGCCCACTTCATCATCATTACCACCACCAAGAGGGACAGGGAAGGAAGTAGAAGGCTCGAGTACACGGCAGGAAGGGACAAGCCAGATGGAGGAAGGAGCGTCGGGGGAGGACCCATCGACAGGACGGAGTGTGACGGTGCGAAAGGAAGGCACGTCGAATGCGGAAGCGACTACGGAGGAAGAGCGTGTAGGACGACTGGCCACAGCCGTACGAGAGATCCTGGTGTGTCTAGGTGAAGATCCGACCCGCGAGGGTCTCTTGAAGACTCCTGAACGGTATGCACGAGCGTTACTCTGGATGACCAAGGGATATCGGGAGGAACTAGGAACGATCATCGGCTCGGCGATCTTCCAGGAAGAACACGACGAGATGGTGATTGTGAAAGAGATCGAGATCTTCAGTCTTTGCGAGCACCATCTTGTGCCATTTATCGGCAAGATTGCGATCGGATACATCCCCAACCAACAGGTCTTGGGGCTCTCCAAACTCGTCCGGATCGCCGAGTTCTTCGCCCGCCGATTGCAGCTCCAGGAACGCCTCACAAAGCAGATCGCACTCACCCTCAATCAGGTCATCAAACCCAGAGGCGTCGCCGTCGTCATCGAATCCACCCACATGTGTATGACCATTAGAGGCGTTCAGAAACCGGGCTCCGTCACCGTCACTTCTTCTATGCTCGGGTGCTTTCGCTCGAAAGATAAAACTCGCGCTGAGTTCTTGAATCTCATCAAAGTTTGTCCTTCTTCTCTCTCTCTCTCTCTCTCTTACTCATGCTTTTGTTTTTCTTGATCCTGATCACTGACTATTCATTTCTAAACAGAGATGACAATCTCCTCTTTCCTCCCCTTTATATTCTTTTCGTTGTTCATATCCTCTTATTAATGAGCATTTTGGAACGATCGCACTTAATTCATATAACGGCCACTCCAGCTTCCTTTTCCCCTTCCAGACACACACACACATATATTGATATATACAGACAACATCACACGTACGCACATAATCCTAACAATATAGAGAACCATCCAACAAAAATAGCATAGAATAGAATAGATTGGCCCGGAATTAGAAAAAGGGTCAAAAATGGAAGAGCAGAAAACCACCAAGCAAACTAGAAATTTTATGATTGATCCTTCAATCAAAGCTCACAAGCTTGAATAATTGGGTTTCTTTGTTTCAATGATGATCACTTTGCTTTGGTTCAAACATTTCAACACATGTCGACTTATTTTTTTTGCTATGTTTCATTTTTTTCATTTTTCTTATTTTTGATGCAAGGTTTAATAACACAATGTGCAAAAGAAAAGTGAACCTCATGGAGAGATGAGGATATTGACATACTCAGTCTGATCTCAAAGTCCTTGGTGACTATGATGGGGCCATGGGCACAGCTAACCAAAGCAACTTAAAAAGGCCTTTCTTGAGACTGAAACTTTTGGTGTCATTGGTCTTCAATTGATTACAATTGTGGATATAGAGTTGACTGGAACTTGAATTGAGTCTGCTGGACTTGATAATATGGTTTAGATGACAAATGAGTATCAGGCAAGATGATAATTCTGTGCTGGGTAAGTGAGTAAATAAAAGAAATCCGTACAGTGTGCCTAATACTTCTCTGGTCACTCATGAGTAAAATTATTGGATTGAACATGTGGAGGCAACTTGCCAGGGAGGGTATTTTGCTGTCTGTATTTTTGGGAAACATTCAAGTAGGGACAAAAATCAATGTTTTGCGGGTGTTTACTTCCTTGAATATGCCACAATTGATCAACGGGTTTGTTGCTGATAACCCATCAGGACAAGGGGAAGAAGTTGTATAGGTGGGGTTCTTTATGGGGCTTCAATGAGTCAGGTTCAGATGGGCCAGGTTCAGATGGGCCAGGTTCAGATGGGCCAGGCGCAGATTGGCCTGCTTTGCAACGGCCTGGAACAAGGAGTTCCTTTACAGGGTGTTTGCATGGTCGTCCAGTCTCAATTCTGCTTGCCCAGCCTGGGTTTATGCGGAATATTGCCCCACATTTTGAGTCTCCACAGACGTAATATGCCTTGTTGACAATATTTGCACATGTTTTATTTGTCATGATGAGAGCACAGCCGCATCTATCTTGGGGTGGTAAGCCTAACTGATGTGGTTGATAAGGAATACCATTTGTTTTCTTGCAACAGGGACAAAGCTGGGCATGATCACCAACACATGAGGCTATTGCAATGACAAACAACACCAAATTGAGAAGCATGGTATTTCTGTGGGGGCTCATGGGGCTGGAGGGTTGAATATAGTGGGAATTGAAACTGTGCAGTTGTCTTCCAGGGCCACAGGTAAGATGCTGCTAATCTGTAACACTATGCCAGCGGATGGAGGTAGATCTCAAGCTCAACATAAATAGGGGCCAGGGTTCAAAACTGCACAGTTGACAACTGGGGCTAAGGGTGAAATTTTGATAATCTATTGCACTATTTCAGTGGTGATAGGTGCATCCAAGCTTAACCTTAATATGAGCTAGCCATGGGGAAATCTCAACTAATTCCCTGTCAACCTCTGTGTAACTACCTGATGTTTTGGTAGAGTTTTTTACTCTGAGTGTTGAAGAGGAAAACCAGTCTTGTGCCTCAACATGCACCCCCTGATATAAATTGTGTGATTTACGTCAGAATTTGGTGCATCCAAACAGGCTCTTTGAAGAAAGTTTCTTGTGCATCTTGAATTCATTAATGAAAGGTGTAGATCATTTACATAGTGGATATTGCAACTATCTGGCTCATTTTTTCTCAAAATGCTCTCTGAATCATCAGTTACATCAGGTCTGTGAAGGGTTCGAGATACTGCATACCCCCAATTACAGCTACTCCAGGAAAGGTTGTCCATGTACGAAAAAAGATACCTCCAATTTTTTCTTGGTTTTCAAACATCATGTTGGTCCTTAGGCATAAGCTTTGACAGTTTGACAAGGATTCAACTAGCTTGGAGCACCCTTTGTGGTGGGAGTCCTCAAGTTAGTTGATTCCTGTTGGGTTGAGGTTTTTTTATGCATATGAATAGAAAAAAAAAAGAAAAAAAAATATTGAGGAGGATTTTTGTGTCAGATTGCACAACCTTTGCCAGAATAGCTGTATTGTGATGGGTATTGTTTCAGTTCAATTTACCCATCAGTCATAGTGTAATAGATCTCCTCATGGTTTGAAGCATAAACTTACTGATTGAAATATGGTATAGTACATCTCAAAAGTGCAAAGTAAATTGTTCAAGGTGATGTATGTCTTGCATCATTGAACTAACAGGATAGATTATAAATGCAGGTTTGTTGCATGCAAAATCACATCAATTTCAAAATTTAAAATATTCCCAGTTCACTTTGTTAAACCTTGTCTTCAATCTTCACACATCCACATTTTTGATAAAAATGCATTCAAAATCTGTGCTTTTGAGCCTGATCATAACCACTGTTTATTGCATGGAAAATTTTCCAAACCAAGCAAAATCTGCAGTAGAGTTAAGTGAGACTTCAAAAGTCCATGGTGGGCATTTTTCTAGTTTTAGTTCACTATAAATTGTAGAGTATAAATCAAACATTTATCCATTTTTATCATTTTTTAACCCCCTCTCCCCCTCACAGATCATATTCCACCTGATGTGCCAAATCATGGTAAAGAATCCACTCAGATCACAGGAGCTGAGATCCCAGTAAGAGCCAATTCTCCCCTTGTTGGAAATGATCAGCTACCACTTCCTAACAATTTTGAAGAAGATAAGAATAAAAAAAATCAAAAAAGATATTTATAAGCAAGAACCCACTTTATTCAGTAAATTTCAGTTTTGATAAATGTCAGTCCATGTGATTTTTCTTGGAATCATTAAAAAAGTGTCACGGCTCATCAATATTTTCCTTTCAGTCTTCAAATTTTGGAATAGTTTTCAAAAAATACTGGTGAGGTTTTTTGTTTAATTCAATTTCAAAAGATACTTTAGTGTAGGGTTAACAAGAAAAATTTGAATTGCTAGTTCCAAAAAAAATCCTTGAGAGATCCTCAGAAGAATTAATGAACAGCTATGTTAAAATGGATGATCATTTTATCCATATTGAAAAAACAAACAGTATAGATTTTTCTGAAGCAAGAAATCTTTTCAAATTATCAATCAGAAGGATGCAAATCCTCAAACAACTGAAGGTATTTGAACTTGCCAAAATCGACTCAACTCTCATTATCAAAAAAATGAAAGAAGAGTATGGCAAGCATATGGAGCTACAACCTTGGCTTGAAGGCATTCTGGCCAAATTTCAAGCACCCAATGCCCCAGAACTTGTGGAAAAGGCTTCCAAGGATCTTTTATCTGAAATGGATAAATTGGCTATAATTTCTGGGAATTCATTCAAAGATCTTCCAGATAAATCTCAATACCAGGAAATCAGATTTCTCACATGGAGTTATACACTGAACCACCTAAACTTTCTGTATGAGAATCATTTCATCAATCCCAAAGATTTCAAGAAGCTTTTCCATTATCAAGAATTCGTGAAAGGGGTGGTTAGTTATTCCTCTAGAATCTTTGGACTATATTTTTGTCCTGAATCTTTTGCTCAAAGCTGGGGGAAGCCAATGCTGAACGCCTTTTGGAATGGTATGTGTCTGTTTGGGCTCTGTTTTGATTACGTCTAGACTGAAGTTGAGAGTATGCAATAATCTGTATCCTCCTATCTTGATTGTACAGGTCTGGGAGAAAAAGAGAAAAGAATCTTGAAATATTACTCTTTAGTCCAAAAAATCAAGATTATTGGTGACCAACTTCTTGAAGAAGAGCCAAAATCAGAGTGGGAAACAATTACTCAAAACTTACTAAGTCATGACTACATTTTGAAGTTAAAACCCATTCATGAAGATAATACATAAGAAAACTCATCTGAAGAAATAGAATTGGATATAATTATAACTCAAAAGGCTCCAGAAGAACTCAAGAGTGATATCAAGAAATTAGTAGATATCATTCCCAAGCTTGAAAATTCAGATGTTCCTCTTGACATGATCAGTAAAGAAGACTGCTATGCTTCCATCTTTGAGTTTTTAGATTTCATTGAGCAAAAACTTTACAAAGATATTTTTGCAGAAGAATCAGGGAAAACAGCTGAGGAATTTCAGATGTTTGAGCAGAAAAGGGATCTGATTTTAGCATATTCAAAAACAGTCAAATCAAACAATTTTTTTTTGGACTACAAGATCTTTTTGGGAAGTGAAGAAGGCAAGTATTCTATGTCGGTTCATACTAAACAACAAACCCTTGCAGTATTTGCAAGACTTCAAGATGAAGCTCTCAAATATATCAGAGAACTTCACAGTTCATATTCCAAATTAACTGAGACCAAACAATTGTACACCTGGGTCCAAGACCTCACTGCCTTGAAAACCTTTTGCGAGCAAAATATACCAGATTTTGTTCAAGAAGAATTCAAGGAACAATATGAGCACTTTGAATACCATCTTGATTTATATAGAAAACATCATTAAGAATAACATCTCCTGCATTGTTGAATTGTTTTGATCTAAGTTTTTGTTGTGATCTATATTTTTAGGGGGTTGGCTAATCAGCTACCAAAAATAGTCCAATAAATCTCATTACTGTATGTTGATAGTTGGTGGAATTCGTCAACCAAGTTTGACCAGAATTTGAAAGCCAGACATGGGAGCCATGCTCATTTCAATCATATTTTTTTTTCTTTTGAAAATCAGGGTGTTCTCCAACTATAAATTCCCTTCCTCAAAGATTATTTGGGAGTTTTTGCCATTAATTCCCTAAAAAACACACATTGCCAAGTAGGTGATTAACCTGCTTTTCAAGAGGTCTTGCGTTTTGCACAGAATATTCACCTCCTTGGACAAAGGCAAAACTCTCTCCTGCGTAGGTTAATAACCTGCTCAGCAAAAGGGAACACCCATCGCCAAGCAGGTTAATAACATGCTCAGCAAGAGGTATTGCATTTTGCCAAGAAGGTTATTGACCTGCTTGGAGATGGGTCTAATTTGTTGCCTTTTGCCACTTTTCCAGACAGGTTATTAAACTTCTTGGTAATTTTACTGCCCTAAAAAAACACCCATTGCCAAGCAGGTTGTTAACCTTCTTGGCAAGAGTTCTCGCATTTTTTGCAGGATATTAAACTCCTTGGATAAAGGTCAAACCTCTCACCAAGTAGGTTAATAAGCTTCTTGTTGGAAGGCAACACCCCTTGCTGATGAGGTTAATAACCTGCTCAAAAAAGGAAAAACCCATTGCCAAGCAGGTTAAGCCCACTTGGAAAAATTTTGCTGCCTTTTGCCCTTTTTCCAGACAGGTTATTAGCCTGCTCGGCAATGGGTACTGCCACAGAAACAATTTGTTAGCTCCAACTATTGTTTCAGGGGGTCTGAATTAGCCTAAAGAAAATGAAAAAAAATATTGAATACATTATTATAAAATTGGGACACCAACTCCCTTCTTTAGAGTTCTAATTTGTCTGACAACTCCCAGAGGACCAAGATTCTGGTCCAGGAGTGGGCCATGTATGGTCCACAAATGGTCCTCTTGGTGTCAACCAATATATGGGAGTCATTGAACCAACACCATATTTCTATTCCTCTTTTTATTAGCCATGATCATCTTAATTTTTCTCTACAAAGATTATCACTTGTCCTGAGGGGAAGGTAGAGATCTATATCACTGTTCATATATTCAAGGGGTATCAAATATAACCAAATCCATCATTATTTAATTGACACGCCAGGAACAATTCACCATCTTTCAAACATGCTGGTTCTTGAACCGCTCCCTTTGGGGGCACATTGGTGCAAAATTTTATTTTTGGAACATTAACTGGTTCATAATGGTGGATTTCATGTATTTAATACCCCCCATTCCCAAATTTTCAACCAAAACAAACCAGATTGTCTTGTTCATTTGAAAATTCCAAATTCTGTGCTTCATGATCTGTCAATGTAACAGAAGGGAAATCTTGACTCCCTTCTAGATTCATGTTTCCACCTTTTGAGATTGATTAGCAAATGGCCTATGCCAATGTCTCATTTTTTTTAAGCAGTCACCTCTTGAATGATTTTTTCCTTTCTTCATTGCTATCTTTTTTTTGATCTCTTTGGAAGATATCTCTTTTCCTGTTAGATATTGCTCTTTTACATGCATCATTTCTCAGAGCTTCTGATCTTATATTTTTACACATAGTATATCTAAACTCATTAGACTGGATAAAAATCTCAGCATGCGTTTCTGACCAGAAAAGTTTCTGATTGTGACACACCAGTCTCATGCTCAGTCTTGCTGGAGGGATCATTTCAACTGTCCTTGACCAAGATTCAAGTCATCTATATCATTGAGTGTCTACAACTACATCGTCTGTTTTGACAATCTTCTGAAGACCAATTTCCATAATCAAGAGTACATTGCGCAATCTATTTGTCCGGAATTTCATGAGAAATTATTGCTGGTCTTGACGGATATCGCGTGGATGGTCTGGAGTACATTTAACATTATAGGTATCAAATGAAGGAGGAAAGATTTGATCTTTTTTTCTACCAGCCGATGATTATGGACTGCTAGTTGCAAAGGCAGGAGAATTGTTATCATGATCATGGGCATTATTATTACTATGAGTATGGTGTTGGAATTCGAGACGATAATCGATGGGGATAAAGAAGTCGTCCTTTGAGTCCTCCTCATCGAGTTCGAACATGATAAACTCGTCAAGCTCGACCTCGTCCAACTGTTTCAACAGTTCCCGATCGTCTCCGTTCCCCGCAGATAACAGCAGTTTCCTCCGTTTTTTATGAACTTCGACTCGATTTGAATTCACATTCTCTTCAGCTTTGAAGATTTCGATCGTTCCTTCTTGTTCATCTTTTCTTCTCCTTTCAAGATCCGATTCATCTTCCTGTGATTTGTGTATGTTTTGTAAGCCAACCAGAAAAGAGCGGATTGATGAAGAGATAAAAACAGGACACCAGTCCATCTGCTGTTCTGCAACGTGCTTTTGACTCACATAATCAAATTCGTCCTCCCTTTCACGATATTCAACGTTCTCATCAAGTTCGTCGAACCCAGGCGCATATGCGCTCCAGTTCTCAGTCACGCCAGTGACCCAGATATGGATCAACCCCAGGATTGAAACCGAGGCTACAATTGGTCGAGTAGGATGCCACTATTCAGTACCAGCAATCAAATTGCGGTTAGAGCAGAAATTCTCGTTGTATGATGACCAAGGAAAACTCAAGGCGGTGACATACATCAAACGCCTCCAAAGGGTCCTTGGGTCCGTCCAGGATTTTGGTCAATGTACCTGAACTACGATCCCAAATAAATATCTGGTGGGAGTCCTTGTGGCCTGCCCCAGCCACCACATATTCCGAGCCGAATCCGCAGCCTTGCCAGGGAGTCCGAACGATGGTATCTTGAAACTTGTGATCCAAGATCATCGATGGGATCAATTCTCCAGCCTTGAACTTCAAGCTATACACGCGGATTATTCGGTCGTTCGAGTTCAAGACTATCGAGCTCCCCTTGGCATCAAACTCCATCGATTTAATCGTGTTGTTATTCGAGATTTGTTCGACATGCACTAACTACTAAATAGTCATAGATCCGGTGGTTTTCATCCGAAATTTTCATAGAATTCAATCGAGTTATCAAAGGCTGCCATTTCTTGTGGGAAAAAAAAAGGAAAAATAAAATAAAAATAAAAAATAAACGCACCACTTTAGTTCTACAATCAAACAAATGTAATGTACCCTGAGAAGTTCCAACATAAATCAAGTCACCACTGGGGTTGAATCTAGCAACGGTAGCAGCTTGTCTGAAAGGAACCATTATTATATTTTCAATTAGATATCTTTGAGGAGGGATGGCAAACTCAGAGAATCGGAAGTCAATAATACCTCTTTCGGCGCGATCCACGTTTGCCGGAGGAAGCCTTGTTTTTCTCCGGGCTCTCGAGGGTAGATGTATCCTCTTCTGGGTTTGTAGATTGGTGAGATTGTCGCGCGTCTAATTCCCATCTTCCACCCTGAGAACGGAGATCGACAAAAATAGCTTCCTCTTGACTTTGAAGAGTAACGACGATCAGTTTTCTGTAAATTTATGTAATTGTCAGTTTTTTTTCCATTCATTTGGAGGCGATGAACATATCGACAAGACGGTTGTTTTTTTTTTTGCAGAGTACGCGAGGTCGTAGAGACGAGCTTAATCTACCTGTTAATCGGATGGAACTGGGCGCTGGTAACAGGGGCATCGAAGCGGATGGTCTGCTTGCGTTCGCCGGATTTCAAGTCCCAAATGATGACGTTCCAATCCCTACTCGAGCTCAACAGATAACGAGAATTGCGACTCCAATCCAAGGAAGTGATCGGCTTGACATGACCCATCAAGAATTTGATCGTCCTCTTGGTCTCGAAATCAACGATCGTCACGCAGCCGTCCAGTCTGCCAATGGCCAGGTATTGCCCGCAAAACATCCCCGTAGGATTGAACTTGGTGATGATCGCTAGCGAGTCGAGCGAACTTTCTACTGTGTCTGGAAAATCTTGCGCAAACGGATCTGGGGGTGAAACATAAACCATCGTCAGTTCTCTGAAAACCCACTATCTAAGCAATTCACATACCCTGTAATTCCCTGTTCATGGCCAACCTGACCTCGTCCTTTGAGTTTGCCGACTTGATGGTAAATTCGTTAAACCAAACAAGCTTGGCCTCGGATTAGCACGCGGCTCGATTCTGTAAACATGTAGGCCAGATGCGCGCCATGGTGCCCCGGGTTCAACTTCCAGTGCGCGTGGCGCGCACCTGCACCAACCCCAAGCTCCCATTCCATAAACTCTCTGCCTGGCCTAGCTTCATTGCAACAGGTGGGGATCATGGAATTTATGGACTGAAATAGAATGTAGATTATATGCTTGTCATGGGAATTTCTTTCCTGCCAGATTGGGAGGATTGGACATCAAATTAGTGGGGTTCACAATAGCTTCTCGCAAGAAGCTCTCTTGATTCTGGCGAGAAACTGCAGCACCGCTGCAGGCATAAAATTTAGCGTGGGATTCTGAATTTTTGCTGACAAAATTAATGTCAGCAGTGCACGAGCAAGAAAAAAACTTAACGGGTGCAAGAAGCAAAAAACACTATTGTGAACCCGCTATTGATCAGTGTCTCCTAGGCTCCAAGACCCATAATCTTTATTTTTTTTTCTTTTCCCTTTGTGAACTTGGTGCTTGTTTGCAATTGAAATTTAAGAAAAAAAAGAAAAGTAAAACCCTGAAATCTTGTTTGAATCTCAGCACAGTCTCATTCAGAACTTACACAAAAAATCCAAGTAAGAAGCTGCCCAAAGTTTTTGAAAATGGCATAAAAACACATGGTGTGTACGTGACTTATAATGATAGCACCCTACAACATCCTATTTCATTATCAACATATTTCTTTCTAATTATGTCAAAAATTAGAAACAACCATACCCAGGAAAAATAATCAAGAATACCTTCAGGTTATAATGGTTTTCAGTTTGAATGGAATTTAAATACCCAATTGAGCATGGAATGCAACTGGGACCAATAGACTTTGGGTCTTATTTAATCAAATCCCAAAAATGGGAGTTCCATGGGTGTTGTTGATAAGACCAGATGAAGATGCCCTGCCCCCCTAATTTCTGGTTCACCTGTCATTTGGGAGTTGTCACTCCCATTCCCTCAGTGGGAATGGGAGCCTTATCCCTGAAAAAAACACAACCCCTAGAGGGGTTGGCAGTCAATGGCCCAAACCTTCTGGGGTGATGGCAGTTGGCTCCTTCCTACAAGCCTTGAATGCTGGGAGGAAACCTCCTGGCCCCTGAGAGTACACTCTCAAGGGCATAAACCTACTTCCTCTCTGCTGTTGGGGATATACACACTTGACAACCAAGAGAACTCCTCTTGGCTTCTGAGAGTGTATAATCTAAACAGCAGAGAAGAAGGAGGTTTTCTCTCAGCTGTTCAGAGTTTACACTCTAAATTCCCAGGAAGATTCTTCTTGGTTGTTGAGAGTGTATACTCTGAATGGATAAGAGTTTTCCTCTTGGATGTTTAGAGTGTATACTCTCAATGGACAAGAGGTTTCTTCTCCATTGTTACAGGTATACTCCATGAAGACGGGAGGTTTTTTCCCTGCTGTCAAGGCTTGTAGGCAGTAGCCAACTGCCATCCCCCAGAATTTTTGGACCATTGACTGACAACCCTTCTATTCTGGGGTTTTTGTTATTTTTTGGGGGCCTCCAAATCTCACTCCCACTGCAGGAATGGGAGGCACAACTTGAAAATGACAGTGGGTCCACAAACTAGGGGAGGGGAGGACATCCTCACAACAACTCCCAAAAATGTGATTTGGAACTCCAATTTTTGGGACTCAATTAACTAAGAATCTAGAATTTTGGTTCCTGGATTGGCAGTCAATTGCAGTATCATACTCCATCCATTCCCATTTTTGTAAGATCTATAAAATATCCCTTCTGTTTTAAAAAATCAAAACTGATTTACCAACCTAACAAAAAAAACAGTTGGGGAAATATTTTGTCCCCTTGGCCTGTAGGCTGAGTGTTTCCAATTACTGTCATTTGATCATGTGCTGAAGGCCCTGGGGATCCTTCTAGGATTACTAGGACTATTGAGAGGTTGTGTCTACCCAACAAGGTAATCCTTTCAAGCTTGAAAAAAGTTTGGACAAGAAAAGAGCTGTTCCAGGAACCATTCAGCCAGGAACCTATCAAATCATCCAATAGGACAGTGCCAAAAAACTTAGAGTTAACCCAAAAGCTATTCCCTAGCAAAGTGTTCAAAGTAATTAAGAAATAATGGTGATGAAAGGGAAAAGTCACCAGAGTCAAAATAGGACAGAGTCCAATAGAGGAAATTTACAATTAATCAAGTGGGCCCAAGTGTGCTTGGTTTAAGGCTAAGAGGAGGCTAATGTTTTGTTATAGGACCAGATCAAAATAGCTAGAACTGATGATTTCCATTTGTCTTTATCTAGTGAATCTTAAGTAGTCCAAATGCTAAATTCACAAGACGTGGGCACTGGGAACAGGTAATGATGCTTAATGAATAAGAAAAAATCAATCTAGCTTAGTAGATGGAAAAAGGAGTGACATGAGGCTGGAAAAAGAGCGACATGTGTATAAGAAAGAGGAAGAGAGAGAGAGAGAGCTTGATTGAAATTCCAACAAGTACCCTTTTCAAGTTTCATTCCCTTTGTTTATTTTTCTTCCCCGCCCTCCTCTTTTCTTATAGTTGGTCACATTGTTCTTTTTCCTTGTCTTCTTTGCATCTTTTTTTGTTACAGTTCATAACTATGAGGTGATGCATTGATCCATTTTTGTGCACAAGCCATGGCTTCTTCAAAATCATTTTCAGCCCCCCATTGCCTTTTCAGGTGTGCACTCTGCATGAAAATCTGGCACAAGTGACATTTTACTTCAGCACAGGGTGTGTGCTGGTGTCTGTCCAGCATCCCCATCCAACTCAGCAAGTGCAAGAGCAACTTGTAACAAAATCAAAATGTTGTGGTTTGGTTTTTCAGGTGTTATTCATGCTGAAAATTTGTTTCCAACATGTGGATAAGAATTTCCATCAAAAAAATCCAGAAAAAAGGGGATACTACATGTCATGATCTGAAATTCTCAGAATAGTTTCTGAGTCCCACATCAAATCATTTTTTTTCAAGCTGGATGACTTCCCATCCATTCTGAAACCCACGCACAAGTTCATGATTTAGACCCAAAAAATTAAGATTACAGCGGTGGAATCTCAAGGCTTCAAAGGTTCAAAAAAGATTCTTCATGTTCCCAGATCTATACAGACAGTGGATGACTTCCCATCAACATCTGCGGGTCTCCCAGTTTTGATTTAGAGTCGCAAAAGCTAGATTTGCCTGCAAAAATCTAGACTTTTTGGGTCTAAATCAAAAACTGCAAGGGTCCCAGATCCAACGGGAAGTCCTCCAGTCATCCATCAGGGGATTTCACAATTGGGATTTGCCAGAAGAACCCTAAGTGAAACCCAGAAATGCTCAAAATATTTGTTTGACTAGATTAATGAATCACTTTGAAAACCTGCAGCAAGTTTGAATCTGATTTTCCAAGCTGTGGTGTAGCACTGACATTGCTAATTTCAAGAAAAAATATTAGCAAACAGAAAAGTATTTTGTTGGACTCAGAAGCAAAAAAATACCTATCAGCCTTCACAAGCATTTGTTATGAATCAGTAAATCAATTGCCAGATGGAGGACTTGTCTGGATTTTGGTTCTCAACCTTTCTTCTCATGGTTTTCAAAATGTATGCTATTCCATAATTTTGAAGCTTTCCTTTTAAATTAATGAATTAGTGCACCAGCAGAAAAGGTTCCTGCAAGCACCTGATGTCTATTCTGTACTTGCAGCAGTCTGCCACCAGACTTGCAAGATGCAAAAATTTTGGTATAAAATCACCATTAGGAATGGAGTTGGTACCGCCCCCGGAATAGCTCAACAGACCAAAGCATCCATTGTTGATCCAATTACCTTCAAAGTTGTCTTGGAATTCCTTGGTTCAATCCCTGCCCAAGTCCACTCATCACGCCAGCCCAGCTCAGATCATCAAAGGCTCAATCTCCATGAGAGCAATAATCCTGACCAGCATCCTTGGTGTCAACCTGCTGCACATCCCGCCTGGCTTTGCAACCATGTGTTACTTGCTAACTTGCAACGCAGAAGGTGTGCCATTGAAAGAACACGTCATCGATTTTCACCAACTGCCCCGGCAGGCCGCGTGTGGCCGATATACCGTCATGGGTGAATGGAAGGAATGCAAAAATTTACGACAAAAGGAGTATTTCCACTGTGAAACCTGCAATACCATATGGCGTGAAAATGTAGGCACTGTGGCACTAAGAGTGTGTTCTGGGGTGGAATGTAATAAAGATCACTACACCAAAGAAAAGATAGATATAGGAAACTCACCACCCACACTACAGAACTATCTTGGCAATGTTGGTGGCGGAGAATCGTCGGCTCCAGGTCCCTCAAGCCGCGGTGCATGAAAAAATCTAATCAAATAAACCAGGCCCGCCAGGGCCCGCCGCACAATACTTTTTAACACCACATCCTATCCGGATCTCACTCTCATCTGATCCACCTGAGTGACTGGATGGCTGAGTACTCCCACAAGTCTTCCATCTCTGACGCTATGTTTACCAGGCTAGGCTCAGAGGAATTCTGCCTTGTGACACAACCAAGGGGATGCTATAATTTTGCAAGATCTGGAGTGCACTTTGTGCTTGTCCAGACCACGGCTGGTAAAAGATTGGAGGACTTCCCGTTGGATCTGGGACCCTTGCAGGAGTCAATCTAGACCCAAAAATTACTCTTAATTCTCGCAGAGAAATTTGAATTTTGCGGCTCTAAACCGACTCTGGGAGACCCGCAGATGTTGACCAGATGTTGACGGGAAGTCCTCCATTATCCACCACACTGATGAAGTGGAACCAGGAACGGTGGGCATTGAGAACCACTGAATTGGCTATTGTCAACGTGTACCTTAGGTTCTTTGGAAGGAAGCTGATACGCCGTAAGCCAGAACTCTCTTCTCAGAAAAGTCAACCAAGAGGGGTGGCCAGAGTCAGCC